TGGTAATGGTAATGACAGTGGTAATGGTATTGGTACTGGTAATGGTAACGGTAATGATAGTGGTAACGGGGTAGCGACTGGCAATGGCAATGACTGGCAACGGTAGTGGTAATGGTAGTGGCAATGGCAATTGTAATGGGATTGGCAATGGCAATAGCAATGGTAATGATAATGGCAATGGCTATGGTAAAGGTAATGGTAATGGTAATAGGAATGGGAATGGGAATGGGAGTGGGAATGGGAACGGGAACGGGAATGGAAATGATAGTGGTAGTGGTAATTGTAGTGGCACTGGTAATGGAAATGGTAATGGTACTGGTAATGGAAATGGGAATTGTAATGGTAATGGCAGCGGTAATGGTCATGGTCATGGTAATGGCAATGGTAATGGTAATGGCAATGGTAATGGTAGTGGCTAATGGCAATTGCAATGGTAATGGTACTGACAGTGGTAATGGTACTGGTAATGGTAATGGTAACGGTAATGGTAATGGTAACGGGGTAGCGATTGGCAAGGGCAATGACAATGACAATGGCAACGGTAAGGGTAATGGCAATGGCAATGGGATTGGCAATGGCAATGGCAATGGCAATGTCAATGATAATGGCCATGGCAATGATAACGGCAATGGTAATTGTAATGGTAATGGGAATGGGAATGGGAACGGGAACTGGAATGGGAATGTAAATGGGAATGGGAATGGGAACGGGAACGGGAATGGAAATGTTAGTGGTAGTGGTAACGGAAATGGGAATGATAAGGGTAAGGGTAAAGGTGAAGGTAGAGGTAAAGGGCATGGTATGTGTAATGGTAATGAAAATGATAATGGTAATGGTATTGGGAATGGGAATGGGAATGGAAATTGTATTGGCAATGGTAATGGTAGTGGCTAATGGCAATGTCAATGCTAATGGTAATGGTAATGACAGAGGTAATGGTTCTGGTAATGGCAACGGTAATGGCAATGGTAATGGTAACGGGGTAGCGGTTGGCAATGACAATGGCAACGGTAATGATAATGGCAATGGCAATGGCAATGGCAGTGGGAATGGCAATGGCAATGGTAATGGCCATGGAAATGGCAATGGTAATGGTAATGGTAATGTGAATGGGAATGGGAACGGGAATGGGGATGTGAATGGGAACGGGAATGCGGAAAGGGAACGGGAATGGAAATGGCAGTGGTAGTGGTAACGGAGATGTGAATTGTAAGGGTAAGGGTAATTGTAAAGGTATAGAGGAAACAGTAATGGTAATGGCAATGGAAAATGGCAATGGCAGTGGTAATGGTAATGCATATGGTAATGGTATTGGGAATGGGAATGGGAATCGGAATGGTAATGGTATTGGCAATGGTAATGGTAGTGGCGAATGGCAATGGCAATGGTAATGGTAATGGTAATGGTAGTAGCGAATGGCAATGGCAATGGTAGTGGCGAATGGCAATGGCAATGGTAATGGTAACGACAATGACAGTGGTAATGGTAATGGTAATGGTACTGGGAATGGTAATGGTGACGGTAACGGTAATGGTCATGGTAATGGTAATGGTAATGGCAACGGTAACGGGGTAGCGATTGGCAATGGCAATGACAATGGCGATGGCAACGGTAATGGTAATGGCAATGGCAATGGCAATGGCAATGGCAATGGGAATGACAACGGCAAAGGCAATGGCAATGGCAATGGCCATGGCAATGGTCATGGTCATGGTCATGGTAATGGTAATAGTAATGGTAATGGGGATGGGAATGGGAATGGGAATGGGAATCGTAGTGGTAATTGGAACGGGAATGGAAACGGTAGTGGTAGTGGTAATGATAATGGCAATGGTAATGGTAATGGTAATGGTAATGGTAATGGTAATGGTAATGGTATTAGTAACGGTAATGGTAATGGCAATGGTGATGGGAATGGGAATTGTAATGGTAATGGCAGCGGTATTGGTAATGGTAATGGTAATGGCAATGGGAATGGCACTGGTGTTTGTAATGTTAACGGTAATGGCAATGGTATTGGTAGTGGCTAATGGTAATGGGACTGGCAATGGCAATAGTAATGACAGTGGTAATGGTAATGGTAATGGTAATAGTAATGGCAACGGTAACGGGGTAGAGACTTGCAATGGCAATACAATGGCAATCGCAACGGTAACGGTAATGGCAATGGCAATGGGAATGGCAATGGCAATGGCAATGACAATGGCAATTGTAATGGCCATGGTAATGGTAAAGGTAAAGATAAAGGGAAAGGTAATGGTAATGGTAATGGGAATGGGAATGGGAATGGGAATTGGGATTGGAATGGGTAGTGGTAGTGGTAGTGGCAACGGAAATGGGAATTATAAGGGTAAGGATACAGGTAAAGGCAAAGGTAAAGGTAAAGGTAATGGACATGGAAATTGTAATGACAATGGCACTTGCAATGGTAATGGTAATGGTAATGGTAATGGTATTGGGAATGGCAATGTGAATGGCAATGGCAATGACAATGGCAATTGTAATGGCCATGGTAATGGTGATGGTAATGGTAAAGGTCATGGTAAAGGTATTGGGAATGGGAATGGGAATGGGAATGGACAAGCAATGGCAATTGTACTTGTACTGGCAATGGCAATGGTAGTGGGAATGGGAATGGGAATGGTAATGGTAAAGGTAATGGTAATGGTAGTGGTGGTTGTAGTGGTAGTGGTAGTGGCAATGGCAATGGTAATGTTAATGGTAATGGTAATGGTAATGGTAATGGTAATGGTAATGTTAAGGGTAATGATGAGGAGCAACGTGAAAGATCGTAAAACATCGTCTGAAACCCACAGGGACTCCACAATCCCCCGGCCTCTGTTCCTCCACCTTTCTTTCCGTTGGATATTTCCTCTTTCGTCGTCCCTTGTCCCCGCTCCCCCTTTTTTTCCACTGACAGTTACACCATATGAGCACTATTCAGTTCTCCATTGATGCTGTGCGTATGTTCTCTCCCGCGCATGTTGTGCGTTTCTTTTCGCACACTGGATTTGAACGGTTTGCGTGTTATGCGCTATTTGTCTTCAAGAACGCCTTGGGCCCTTCAAACGAAGTGTTCCCGCTTCAGCGTTGTCCACATTTCAGTATCGGCGTTTTGTTCCCATCGCTTAGACTTGTGATTAGTTCATCGTCATGCTATCCCCCTCCGTTCCTCTCCTCCACCTTTGATGCTTGTCCTGCTTTTCCTGCTGCTCATGTCCCATCTTTTCCTCGCGCATCATCATCATCATCATCATCAGCAGCAGCAGCATCATCAGCATCACCATCATCACCATCATGAGCATCAGCAGCATCACCATCAGCATCATCATACGCATCATCCTCCTCCTCCTCATCATCATCATCATCATCATCATCATCATCATCTTCAACAACAGCATCATCATCAGCATCATCATCATCAGCATCATCATCATCATCATCATCATCATCATCATCATCATCATCATCATCATCATACACATCATCATTATTATTGTTATTGATATCATCATCAGCAACAGCAGAAATAGCAACCACCCTCTCTGCATCCGACTGCCTCTCAGGCACTCTTCCCTCAATCCCTCCCCTCCCTCCCTTCCCGCACCCATCCCGCGCTCCTCCCGCTCTTTTCCCTTCTGTCCCCGTCCGCACCCCTTCGCTTCTTCCCTCCTCCCCGCCCCCCTCCTCGCCCCCTCCGACCTCTGGTGTTGTGCTCCTTCGCCACGCGGGTCCCCGAGGAGGTTTGGACCCCTTTTCTGGGGGACTTGCGGCGGTTTGGTGCGCGTCCGAGGGCCCCCGGAAGCCGAACGCGGCGGACGCTCAACATCTCCCGCCATGGTCTTTTGGTCACGACGCGACGGGGTGGGTGGGGGGGTCAAACGTCGGTCGACCCCAGGGCCCGCTGCGGGGCGCGCCCTGCCCAGAATCTCAGAGGCGGACCTCGCCGTGGCGACCGGGGAGGAGGCCCCCACGGGGCGAGAGCTGCCCAAGCTCGAGCCTCGAACCTCGAACCCAGACATCGGCTGAGGGTTAAGGTTTTGTCTTGGCTTGTGTTTCCAATCTGCCGCCCAGAGTTTCCGACCGCTTCCCCGGGGCCAGTTTTGCATATCGGCTCCGTTCATGATGACCCTGGGACCCCACGGCGCCCCCCCCGAGTCGACGTTTCGGAAGCACGCCAGGATTGAATAAATCAATCCTGCGGACCTCTAGCAATTTCGAAACTCTCTCCCTCCAGACCGCCCCCGCCCGAGACCGATTCCGCTCGGCGATCCTATGCGGCCCGATGCTTGCATGGCGTTGATGTGCATTGTGCCGCAGCCGATCCGATCCGATCTCGATTCCGTACCGACGCAGACCAATCCAGCGTGCATTCTGCTCCTATTTGATTTCCAGATTCGATGTTGACTGACCCCGTCCTCCCGCCCTGCATCGTGATTGTAATTCTTGGGAGGTGAATTTCAGCATCTGCGCTGCCATATCCGTGGTCGAATGAAGGGGCTGACCCGGCACAATCCCGTGCAACTCCGCTCAGTCCTATTTGATTTGGTTCACGCGTGGTTGATATTGGACCTAGTCCAGAGCAGTCCGGCTTAATGGCCCCTCGATCGGGCCAATTCGTCTTGAATCGTTCTTGCGAAGAGTTCCCAGGAGTTGCCTGCTAATTGCATCGCGCGCCCCTCCCCCCGGAGACAGGCGACCCTCCTCCTCCTCCTCCTCCTCTTCCTCCTCCTCCTCCTTCCTCGTCCCCCCCATTCCTCCTCCTCCTCCTCCTCCTCCTCCCTCCTCCTCCTCCTCCTCCTCCTCCTCTCCTCCCCCTCCTCCTCCTCCTCCTCCTCCTCCTCCTCTCCTCCTCCTCCTCCTCCTCCTCCTCTTTCTCCCCCTCCCCTTTCTTCTGCTTCTTCTCCTCCTCCTCCTCCTCCTCCTCCTCCTCCTCCTCCTCCTCCTCCTCCTCCTCCTCCTCCTCTCCTCCTCCTCCTGCCTCCTTCCCCCCTTGAGAGGCGCAGATGGTCCTGCGCGGGGCGCTCCTCTCCCCGAAGAGCGGGCGCCGCCCCCCCCCCCCCCCGCGCGCGCGCGTGCGCGGAGCGCGACAGGGGGGGGGTGATGGCCGGGGCCACGGTGTCTCCCAGATTTCATGGCGGTCGGGGCGCGAGCTGAGCGGTGTGCTGGCCGCTTCCGTGTGAAAAGGTGCGGCTGCAGCAGAGGCGGCACGGACACGGAGCGAGGGAGGAGGACAACGGAGCGGCAACGGGGAGCACCGCAGAGCTCGCGCCTTGATGGCGGCTCTGCGCAATTGAAGCAGGTACTTCCCCTGGGTTGCGCACGTGCCTCGTGCCATGACTTGCGAGCCCCCCCTCACGGGCGCTTCGCCGTCCAGTCCGCTGCGGCGCAGCGCCGCGGCACGGAGGAGGTTCGAGGTTCGAGGTTCGAAGTCCGAGGTTCGGCGGCGTTTTCGAGCTTCGAGGGGTCGATGTTCTGGCGCGTTTTCGCCCGATGTGAACACCCGGGGGCGCCCTCGCCGCAGCGGCTGGATCCGCCTCGGGATCTTGGCCAGAACGCACCCCAGAACAGGTGCGGGCTCCATTCATGACCCCTGGTGGAAGTCGCCGGATGGCAAACTAGTGTCGGGTGTTTGGGGAGGGAGGGTGGAGCAGGTCGAAGAGGAAATGCTACCAACACCGCTGTCCCTCCACCTCTCCCCCATTTTCGTCTTGCTTGAGGCTTCCTGGGGAGTCCTCGGTGCCACGGCTGGATCCGATTCGGGGTGCTGATCAGGCCAGGAGAGAGGCGAAGAATTTGCGGTGTCTTTTGGTCCACCCCCCCGTGGGGGCGTTTGGCAGGGCTCGGGGTCGTGGACAGACGGCCCCCATGTGCCCATGGGCCTACCCTTGGGCCTCTCCGCTGCGGGCCGAGGGCACGTTGACAGATATGTCCGTGCTGCAGTGATCACGCGCAGGATCTGCTCATTTTTCTCGCAGCCCCGCTTCGAGCATTAAAAAACAACCCAGAGGTTGAGTACCTTCCAGGATCCGTGCGCCCCCGCCCGAATTCGGGCGTGCGGGCTGGCTGGGAGTGGGCGGGGAGTCTTCGATCGTCAAACATTACCGGGGGTCTACGCGGATATCTTGAGCCGCTGCCGGGGCTGCGCTGGAGGCGCCGCCAGGGGGCTCCACCCAATCAATCTGCGCGGACCTCCGCCCGTGGTCTGTGCCTATGTCACTGTGGGCTCCCTTGGGGAGCCCGCGACGCTCCTTGGCGTCGCGTTGATGTGATGCCGCCCCGCTTCGCCAGACCGCATATGCACAGATAGGCAGAATCTGTGTTTCAACGTTTGTTTCATGACCCTCGGGCCGGTGCGGCCCTGCTCCGTCAGGGCCGCGCCGCCCGGTGGCACTGCTCGTCCTCTCTCCTCGGGCGGTGCCCGCTGCACCTGCTTTCTACCACCGCCCCCGCGAGCGGCTGTTTCCTCTCGGCATTTGCTCCGCCACCGTGCCCCCGCCGCGCTCGTGGGCCGCGCCTCGGCTTATGTTCTTCCATCCGACCTGAGCCTTGACCACCAGAAAGAAATTCGAACACCAGGAAAGTGTCGAAACTGGGGTTTTCACGTGTCGGGACCTCGGAGGCGATACTCGTTCGACACTGTTTTGATATTTCGCTGGGTGCTCGAGATTATTTCTGGGATGTGGTCCGTAAGTACGATGGGAGCAACATGAAGCTCGGCGCTCGTGGACATCCACACGCTCCAGCGCCAGAGCCTGCTCGGCTCCGCGGCGGCCCCGCGGCCCCGTAGCCCGCGAGGCCACGCACCGGCCTCCACTGCGCAGAGCTCCCCCCTCCCTGCATCCCTTCGGTCGGATGGTAAAAGGGGGGGGGCGTACATACACGGTGAAGAAAGGGGAGGGGCCCCGAAGGGGCTCTTTGGGCCCGCTTTTGGAGCCAGCAAGAGCCCCAAAGGGCCTCTTAAGGGCTCCGTCCTTCACCCCCCATTTTGGTCACCCCCCCATGACGGTCGGACCGAGGTACAGGATCGAGGTCGGTTCGGGGAGGGTACCCTAATGTTCTTCGTGCTTGTTGGATGTTCTTGTGCACCTTGGGTACCATGGATTTTTTTTTTTTCAGTTTGGCCGGTGGAGGGTTTCATACTTTTGAAGGATTCTTCTTTTTCCTAGGTCCGTCCGTACAGCCCGCCCGATTCCTGCGAACTCCTGCCTGGTGCTCGCGAGCACGGCCCCCGTGCCTGCGAGCGCGCCGCCTGTGGCGTTTTCTCTCTCTCTCTCTCTCTATCCCTCTCTGCGTGTGTGCGTGCGTGCGTTGTTTTCAGATGGTTCTGCACGGGGAGGCGCGGCCCTGAATTCCGAGCTCCGCCCGCCCCCGTGTGTGTGGCACGCCGGGCGTCCGGGCGAGGGCGCGCGCCTGCTGGGCGTCGTGGCAGCTGGCGCACGCCCCCGCCCCCCAGCTGGGGGAGAGGGAGGAGCGACACCAGCGCCGCCACGGGGCCACCTCCAGCGAGGGGGTCCACGAGGCCTGCCCGAGCTGGGGATCTACTGGGGAGGTCTCGAGCGAGAGGTGGGGGGGACCGACCGCACCACCCGCGGGACCACTCGCTGGCTCCTCCCGCCGAGAGGGTCCTGTTCCCTGCTCCTGCCGTATGATGCTTCAGCCTGGGCCGCCACAGAAATTCCGAGTCTTGATGGTCTCCACGCGTCGGGCCCTGGGAGAGGCGACGCAGGCTCTGCGCTGCTTCGACGCTCTTCTGGGTGCTCGAAGTCATTTCTGGGAGGTGGCCCTTGAGTACGATCGGCAACACCCCAACATACTTATACTATATGTGCGTCGCCCCCCCAGGGGCGACGCGCGCACCGAGAAATCTTATAGTATATGCGTCGTGGCGGGCGCTTTCTGGCCACACCGCTCGGGAAACGATATACTACAAGATGGGTATACTATATGTTCGGGTCGGACGCGCGCCTCCAAGGAGGACATATAACATATAGTATTAGTATGTCCATGTGCGTCCCATACGATGGGAGCAACAGAAACCTCGGCGCCCATGGACACCCACACGCGCCAGCAGCGCCAGAGCCTGTTCGGCTCCGCGGCGGCCCCGCGGCCCCGTGGCCCGCGAGGCCACGCACCAGCCTCCACTCCGGCATCCCCTCGGGCGGATGGTAACGGGGGGTGGCCTACATGCAGGGTGGGCCCTGAAGGGGCCCTTTGGGCCCGCTTTTGGAGCCAGCAGGAGTCCCAAAGGGCCTCTTTAGGGCTCCTCATCGCCTGGAGCTGCCCGGAGCGGGTCGGCGCTTCGTTCTTCGCGGTGCTTCTCTCTGCCCAGCTAGGGGCGCGCTACCGAGCCCGCTCGCCGGCCGAGAGCGGCCGGCCAGCCGGGGCGGCCGAGCATAGACGCAGGGAGCGAGGAGGCGAACGGAGGGGGAGGAGGGCGGGCGGGGATCAAGCAGTGGCGAAGCGTCCTGGTTCGCCTATAGACCCACCGAAAAATGTTGTAAGAACTTTTTTTGGTTTGCACGAAATGTTCTTTGAACATTTCTGGCTGGGACTGTCTTGTTTTAGCACATCGGGTGTATGTTCTAAGAACCTGTTTTTTTTCGTCGAACAACTAGGGGTTCTAAGAACATTTTGTTGTAGGCCTATAGGAATGCCTAGAGGAGGCGACTGGCGGGGGAGGAGGGCGGGGAGGGGGCGGAAGGGGAATGTCAGGCGACCGCACACATGGATCAAGGGGGCGTGGATTGGCGTCGGGTCCCCTTTCCATGGGGTAGCGGAGCGAGGACACCGGCCGCATTCGAGCCGCCGAGCGAGGCGGCACCGGCCATGCATTCTGAGGAGGGCACCTCCCCCGATCCAGGGATTTGGCGACCGCGCGCCAAATCCATGGAATGCTGATCCCTGCTTGCGCGCATGGGAGGTGAGGGAGGGCGAGTCGGGGGGGGGGGTCGTGCCGGGGACGGGGTGCCGGGCACAGGCGGGAGCGGGGGGGGGGAGCGCGAGCGGGAGCGGGAGCCTCGTGCAGGAGCAGCAGGCACGAGGAGGGGGAGGTGCGCAGGAGATCAAGGCTGGAGCACTGCGCACCGCGGGCAGGGCCATGGTGGCGCTCGGGCTCCACTCGCAGCTGATGGAGCGCTTCCCGTCCGCATCTTGCCGTCGTCGTCTGCGGAGGCGGAGGAGGAGAAAGATGAGGAGGAGGAGGAGGAGGAGGAGGAGGAGGAGGAGGAGGAGGAGGGAGGAGGAGGAGGAGGAGGAGGAGGAGGGGAGGAGGAGGAGAGGAGGGAGGAGGAGGAGGAGGAGGAGGAGGAGGAGGAGGAGGAGGAGGAGGAGGAGGGGGGGAGGGAGGGGGGGGGAGGGGGAGGAGGAGGAGGAGGAGGAGGAGGAGGAGGAGGAGGAGGAGGAGGAGGAGGAGGAGGAGGAGGAGGAGAAAGATGAGGAGGAGGAGAGGGAGGAGGTTGGATGGTGGCGATAAGGAGTGGGTAGGTCGGATGGATGAGACGGATGATGGCGGAAAGGGGGCACGATGAGCGAAGGGCGGGGAGCAGTTTAGGCCTCCAGACGTTGCCCCGAGGGGTCGTTCATCCGAATCGCGTTACTCCAAGCAGGTATCTGGAGGGGAGAGGAGGGCGGCGGAGGCCAGGGGAGGCAGAGGAGGAGGGAGGAGTTGGACGCTCCTGGCTGCCCTGTGTGGATTCTGGAGACCTCGGGGGTGGGAGCAAAGTGCCTTTGGGGACACGTCCCCCATCGTTTGATTGGTGCTCGATCGAGGATCTATCTCGAGGTTCGAATGCGCTGGACGTTCTGGTCCCCTTGTGCGCCGCCGGGGTAGGCTCCTCGTGGCCACGCCCGCATCCGCCTCGGAGTTCTGGCCCGGGTGCGGCCCAGGACAGGTCCTGGGCCGAGTCTCGGAGGAGCATGAGGTCATGACAATGTGCGTTCCAAGGCTTCAAGCATTTCCTAGATTCCCGAACGTTCCGTACTGGCTGCAACAACGAGGGCCGCCAGATTTTTCTGGACATCTTGGAACATGTCTTGAGTCAATCTTACCATGACACCACTTTCGTCCTGAAGGCTTTCCCCCCCTACACCACACGCACAATTCTTCATCCGCTGTTCACCGAGCTCGATTGTTGCCCCGCTGTGCGCAAGCGGCTTTGAGCGCCTGCCCCAGCCGATCTGCCGAGTCGACCGCTGGGACGCGAAGGAAGTCGTTTGCGATCTTCGGCTCTTGTGTATAGGCATCCCTGATCGGGTCCGGGTAGATGGGGTGGGAGGATCGCGCCGCATCGCCGATGCATCGCCGATGCGGCTCGGTGTGGAGCTCGCCGATACATCGGCGATGTATTGCCGATGCATCGCAAATGCTGCGCGATGCTTCGACCCATCTACTCGGACCCCATCCAGGAGGCCCCCCTGTGGCTCCTCGCCCTTTTCGCGGCTGGTCTGCGACCGCGTTGCAAGGTCTCCGCCACCACGTCTGAGCTTCAGTGCCCCCTGCCGCCGTCCAGTCCTCTCCCGAGGGTGAAGCCTGGGAGGTAGCAGGATAAAACGTGTATGCAGCGCGCGTCATCATCACTTGGCGGCGCCATTTTCTGTTAGAGGCGTGATCATCACTAGCGTCATCGTCATTACCAGCATCCGTACTTCCTTCGCCCGCAAGACGTAACCACCCAATGACTTGTAATTATTCGGGCTACTCCTGTTCAGCTGGTTGAAGCTGTTTATTTGTGCCAAAGTGTCTTGGAGTAGGAGTACAGCGCCGCCCAGCACAGGATCTGGAGATTGCTGTCAACCGTGTCACGTTTGAGTTGATGGTGAACGCGTGCGTCCAGGTGCCATCATCCGCTCAGCCGCAGCGCCCTCTTGCGAATCCAGCGGGACAGGACATTGTAGAATGGCTCGATGAGGGGGGTTGGGGGGCGCGGATGAGGAGAAGGGGGAGGAGGCTAGAGCGATATATATATATATATATATAGAGAGAGAGAGAGAGTGAGAGAGGACAAACAAAAAACATTCGCGTTCGTTCAGGACAACGCGTCCGTCGCCGCCTGCCGTGGGCTCTTGAAGACGCTGCGGGCACGCATAGCTAGTCAGGCCCTGGCGACGAGAATTCTCCAGGGAGCCCTGAATTGACGAAATTCTTGACGCTTCGCGTATCCCCACCAGCCCATCCTACACCAGGCACTCGAACGAAGAGCGCCGATGATCGGCAGCTGTTCTCCTCCCCTCTTCCTCCTTCTCCTCCGCCTTCTCCTCCTCCTCCTCTCCTCCTCCTCCCTCTCCTCCTCCTCCTCCTCCTCCTCCTCCTCCTCCTCCTCCTCCTCCTCCTCCTCCTCCTCCTCCGCCTCTTCCTCCTCCCTGGTGGCGTATTGGAAGTGTCTTCGAACGTTTTGGTGGGCTCTTGGGCCTTGCGGGCGGGCGGGCGGCGCTCCGCCCGCCCGCGCGCAGGGCCCAAGAGGGGGTCCAAGACGTCTCTCGGAGCCATCTTGGAGGAGATCGATCAACGAAGGGGGGGTCCTAAATTTCAGCCCCCCCCTCAGGAGCCACGATCCTCGTGAGGGGTGTCGAATTTTAGCCCTCCCAGGGGTCGATCTTGGACGCTCTGACCGATCGCGGCCCCCCCTGTCCAGGTCAGTGGGGAGGGGGTAGGGGGAGGGGTAAACCCCTCCCCGAAGGGGAAGAAGGAGGGGTGGAAGAGGAAACGCTCTAAACCACCGACGCCCAGAGGGCTGGTGGGATTTGTCTGGCAGGGCCGCTGTTGTCTCGACTGGCTCTCCTCCGACTTTCTCCGCTCGGGGGGCTTGCCCGGGCACCGTGGCAGCGTTCGCCACCGTCCTCTCCGCGAGCGGCGTCCTCTCCACCCGTCCCGTCTGCCGGCTCCCTCCACTGCATCGTTGTTTCCCCTTCCTCCGCCTCTGGAGAGGCCTCGGGGCATCCCTCTCTCCGTCTGTCTGATCCAGGGACGGAAGGGAGGCACTCCTCTCCCTCCCTCGCCCCAAGCAGGTATTCGGGCAAGTGTACCTCCCCACCCCCCCATCTGGTGCTCCCTTCTGGGGCTGGGCCAACCCAGTCGTGAGGACGTCTCGAAAAAAAGAGTGCAGCAAGCAGCAGTTCTACCCCACCCAGGCAACGAGGATTATCCACCGAAACACCTGCCCCCCACCTCTCTTGGGAGGGGGGGGGGCAGGTGGGGCTGCGGGTGCTCTTTCCCTCAGCTCGCCAAGTAAACAACGTCGAACATCGGATAGGGGATATAGGGGGACTTCTTGCGTCCCCGTGTCTGCGGGGGCCCATGCACAGCACTCCCTTCACGCTTCATGCTCGTGCCGCTGGACTCCGCGGCTGTGGCCTGAGCGCGTTCGGCGCATCCGTTCGAATGCAGTCCGTGCGTTCGCGTCTCGCTGACTTTGGAGGGACAAGAGGATCAAGCACACGCTGCCGTCGGGAGCCCGTCAGCGTGTTACTCACCTATGGTTGTCCGAAGAGATGGTATCTCTGCAGCAGTACAGTGCCGGCGCGCATCAAGAAACCATGTGCCTTTCGACAGGGTACCCTGGGTTTCTTCGCTCCGCACGCTGCGCGGTGACTTCCCTCAGCCGTTGAAGAAGCTGCTGCGTGCCGGGTGCTCCGGGCTTCCCTTCAGGTGCGCCTCGTGCGCGTGTTTTCAGGGTTGGGTTTCCTGCGAGGGCTTCTTGCGACCGCGCCCACACTGTACTACGAGGATTCCTTCGCAACGGCGGCGGGCGTGCCATGGATTCTGGTCTTGCTCTCCCGTTACCGTCTTAGAGGCAGGCACGGGGCCAACATACTTTGTGTTCCAGAGCGTCTTGGAACATCCTCCGAGTGTCGCGCTGCGCTCTGGAACGGCCGCAGTGCCCGATATGTCCTCGACTCCTGCCAGCTTTCAGACATCTCCGATGTGTCTTGGTCGAAGTCTATATCTTCAATCTGGCTTCGTCTTGCATCTGACGCAGCCTGTCGTGCCACACGCCTGCCGGACGGACAGACAGACAGACCGACAGACCGACATATTGACAGACCGGCAGACTGACAGACAGACAGACAGACAGACAGACAGAAGAGCCGTGCACGCCAGAGGTGCGTTGGCAAGAGGGCGAGGCGAGGCGGAGACGATCGGGCGAGGAAGCGGGCGGAAGCATGGCAGCAGAGGAGGAGGAGGAGGAGGAGGAGGAGGAGGAGCAGGCGGAGGACAAGGGGAGGGAAAGAGGGATACGATGAGATGCGACCGATCGCGCAGCGAAGAGGGACTCGGGGAGTAAAGTTAAGTCGGGCATGCGGGCATGACCCTCTGCAGGAGGAATTATTCAAACATAGTCAACTCATAATATGGGGACGATCTTTTCACTGCTTGTTTGTTCATTGTTGAGCATGTTTTGGCTATGGCAGAGTAGAAGGGATGGGGACACCGCGGAGGAGCCAGGATTGTCCCCCCTCTGCCCTCGGCCCGCCCCTCGGCTGCAGCCCTCGGTCCCGGGGGGAGAGCTCCCCTGCCGCGTCCCCGGCGCCCCTCGGCGCCCCTCGGGCGTCGGGGTTGCCTCGGGCGCCCCTCTCCCCCCAGACCCCCTCCAGGGCTCGTTTCGAGTCCACCGATTCGATTCGATTCGATCTCGATGGCTTCCGATTCCGATTCGGTCCGATTTCGGATTCCGATTCGGCTTTCGATCTCTTCATGGAGGCCGAATGGCTTGCCGACTTCCGCCGATTCGACTTCTGCCGACTCGGCTGCAGATTTCTGACGATCCGATTCATCTCGATCGCCGCTCCGATTTCTTGATTCGATTCTGGGGTCTCCTGCCCCTCGCGTTGTAAAAGAAATCACGACGGGAGGCTTTTGGCTTCGGCCCCCGGGCCTCGGGGCCGTCGAACAGAAACGACTCGGGAAGAAAAACCGGTCCCTGCAGTGAAGGGGTCCAGACTGAAGTCGGGCCTGTCCCTCTACAGGAGGAAAATTCTGAAATAGTAAAAACATAGTCTGGGGTCGATTTTTCGACTATTCTTGAGCATCTTTGGGGCATTTGTTTGCCATTTTTTTACTTCTCGCCCAATAGCCGCCTGTAGGGGGACAGGCCCGACCTGAGTCTAGACCTCTGGGGGGGTCGACGTTGCGAAAAGATCAGGGCTCCGGAGGTCTGGCCCCCCCCCCCTCGTGGCCTCGCGGCCTCGCGGGCCGGGCCCCTGGGCCGCGGCCCCGCAGATGCAGGGCGTCGCGTGCGCGGATGCCCCGCGCGGAACGCATCCGTGTGACAGCGTGCCCGCGGGACTGCTCCCGCGGAGTCCAGACCGCGAGGGCGCGGATACGGACATGTTCGCCGCTCGTGATTTCCAGGCCTCCAACGCGATGCGCTTCGGTCAAGGGCCGTCGATACTCGCATGAGCACGAGCGTGAAATTGAATTCGCAACGATGGACGTGTTCCATCCATGTTGCGTTCAACACGCAGAAGAGCAACAGCTACCGGCCAGCATGGCGGACGTGGCCCATTCGGCGCCCCGGCCAGCATGGCGGACGTGGCCCATTCGGCGCCAGCTGACTTCTTGTTTGATGGAGAAGAGAGAAGGAGAAAGAAATAACGATACTGGGGGGATGGGGCCAGAGGGCCAGTATCGTCACGTTTTGCGACAGCGCCGTCTTGAACTGCTAGGGAATAGCGAAAGACAGCTCGGATGGCAGGCACCCATGAGGATCTGCTACGGCAGAGCGCGCGTACTTGTAGGGATTTGCTACGGCAGAGCGCTTCCCTTCTCTTTCCCCTCTTGTTCCTCCTCGTCCTCGTCGTCGGCGTTGTCGTCTTCGTCGTCGTCGTCTTCGTCGACGTCGTAGCGTCCCTCCTCATCGTCGTCCTCGACTTCGTCACTATACTGCCGGGTGCTTCAAGCAAGAACAGACGAAGGGGGGGGAGTTGGGAGGAGCGAGGGAGGAGCGCGAATCGATAACATGAGTGTTATCGGGTTGACCCAGGAGGGGGTCCAGCGACAAGGGGGCGGTGCAATGGAGTTGGTGCAATGGAGTTGTGGGGTTCCAATGCATTTAGGGGCGTGCGATACGTTCTGTGGCGCAAATGTATTGCTGGATTCTCGCGTGCAGCTGCAATGCCACGCCATACAATTCTCTGGAGCAATACATTTGCAATACAATTGCCCCAAATCTATTGCACCACCCTCTTTTCAGCTGGACCCTCTTGTGGGCCACCCAACGTAAGCGAGCAGGTCATCTCGGCCGGGCCCCGCCTGCCTCGCCCCCCCTCCCCTCCTCACAGGTCCCCCCCCGTTCTTCCTGTCCCTGGGTGAAGCACCGTGCACTGTAGCGAGGAAGACGAGGAGGACGAGAGGAGAAATGCTACGACGACGCCGTCGACGAGGACGACAGGAGGAGGAGGAGGAAGAGGAGGAGGAGAAAGGAAGGGCCCTGTCGTAGCAGATCTTTGTAGGTACGCGCGCTCTGCCGTAGCAGATCCTTCTGGGTATCTGCTATCCGAGCTGTCTTTCGCTATCCTCAACATTCCCACACAGCGTCGGCGCGAAACGTTCCCATGGGATGGGGGGGGGCGGGGCCAGTAACAACTGTTATCGCGAGATATGCAACAACACGTCTTGGGAAAGTTAAGACGCCATGTGCGTTCCTTTTCATATCTTCGGTCTCTCAGGGGTCCTCTCTGGGCCCCAGGGCCGTCAAGAAGCGTGCTAGGATGAGAAGCCGACTCGTAGCGTTTGCTTTTTCCCTCTGTGGAGTGGCACGGCGTCGGATCGCTCTTTGGCCCCCCTGCCTGGGCGAGGCCAAGACGCTGCAGGCGGCCAGCGACCTCCTGATGAGCATGGAGGCGGCGGCGACGGGCCAGGGCGGAGGGGGCGACAGGGAAGAGGGAGGGGAGGGAGGGCGGGGGGGACGCACGGAGACGGAGGAGGAGGAGGAGGAGGAGGAGGAGGAGGAGGAGGAGGAGGAGGAGGAGGAGGAGGAGGAGGAGGAGAGAAGACCCAAGATGCGGCAACGAAGGTGCAACAACCCGTTCCTCCAAACTTCCCTCTTCACAGGTACTTGCAAGAATTTCCGTTTGTTGCGGGACGTGGCCTTGAGAATGCAAATTGTGTCAAAACAACGCACTACGTATTCTTGGGATTGGAGCGCGGCGAATCAGCGTGCTTGTTGCGCCCTGACAATCCGAAACCGTGCCTGAACACCATCCCTGGGATCCAACACACCACATCGACGTGACTGTTGTGTCCTGACTATCCGAAGCCGCGCCAGAACATTATGTTCGGGATGTTAGCCATACGAGCCCTTGAAATTGTTGTTAATTTTTCCGACGGGTGTGCGCGGCGTTAGGGCGAGAGCCACATTTTGAAAAAAAACGCCTTCCATCCACGAAACTGTCGCAAGCATTCCGGACCAGACATTGCGAGGAAGTCTCAGGCGAAACGCCCGGCCCGCTCTACCGAAACGCCTTGGGGTGCAGCAGGGAGGAGCTATTCAGAAGGAGAGTGGATGGAAGAGGGGGAAGGGAGGAGGGGGGGGGGAGGAAGGAGGGAAGAGGGTGATGGAGCATGGGGGAGGGGGCGAGGGAGGAGAGGGGGAGGGGACGGCAAGGTAGGGGAGGAGGGAGCAGGGAATAATCAATGAGGAGGGAGTTGATTTGAGGTTCTTTGGCGCTGCTACCATAAGAAGCGCTGGAGGAACAAGCATGAAGAACCCAATGAACAGTCAGTTCTGTCCGAGCACGAACTGTTTTTCATGTCAGCGTCTTGACTACCAGTTCTCACCCTTGATGGTGTGTTGATGCTCCTGGGGCCTGGAATGAGCCCCCAAGCCACTCAAAGGAGCCTGCGAAAACATGTGTGCGTTGTTCGTTTCTGTAGCTGTCCATCTTTGGATTGTCGCTGGTTGATGGGAGGATGGGTACACGACATTGTGAGAAGAAGAGATCAGCACCAGCGCGAAGTCGCCGCGTGAGGAGAAGAAGGGGCCGCTTATGTTCCAAACACACATTTCTTCTGTTCTCAATCCCCCGTGTGTCTGGTGGGGGAGGATCAGGGTTCAGACAGGCCTGGGCTGAGCATGGTCGCCCCAGAGCGGTGTGGACCGCTCTACAGGGCGTTCTGGAGCACTCTGGACCGGGCTGCGGCGCCCGATGCATTCTCCAGACCCGCCTGCTCTCAGAGGCTCCCAGTGTGTCGGGGCTCAAGAGACGGAGGTCAGTGCAGACAGGGGTCAGTCAGGGCGCCGGACTTTGCAGGACCCTGCAGGGCCAGGGGTGGCATGACCGGGAATTTGGGTGCAGGATCCTGCAGGATCTTGTAAGGTTTGATTGCCCCGGGTCTGCATTGGCCCGGGTCGGTGCGGCCCCGAGCTTGTGCTCCTCTGGAGTTGTCCCCATCCTGCCGTGTTCCCTCTCCTGCTCCTCTCCTCCTCTTTGTCCCCTCGCTCCGCTCCCTCCCCTTGCGTGCTCGACGTGCGCAGCGATCGCACTGGTGCGATCTGGCAGGAACCCTAGGTTGTAGTTGAACCGTTTCACCGCTGATGGCAGCTGGAGTGTTGCATGATGAGAGAAGGCGAGCGAGAAAGAGAGAGAGAGAGAGAGAGAAAAAAAAAAAAAGGGCTTCGCCCCCTGCCGCCGGCCCCCTCTCTCGCATAATGGGCAATAAAAAAGCGAAATCATGAGGCATTGGTGCCGCCGTGAAGCAGCGCCGGGACTTCACGCGAAGACGATGAGTAACCGGCATCACAAATTGAGATTATGATGATATTGTTGAATTCGGTCTTGTATTTTGAGCTTGCTCGCGTATGCTGTGGAACAAATTTTGTACGAAGTTTTGAGATGTTGCAAATCGCAAATCCCATGCGTTTTTTGACCCTGACCCCACCGATCTGCGTGAAGGGTGCCACCGGATTTCAAGACATGTGGTAAATACAATGTTTTTGTTCGATCCTGACCCCGCCGATCTGCAAGAGAGGTTCCACCGAATTTCAGAGGTGTGACAAATCACTTGTGTTTTTGTTCCCTGGCCCCGCCGATCTGCGTGAGGGGTGCTACCAAATTTAAAATGTGGCAAATCCCATTGGTTGTTCGACCCTGATCCCACCGATCTAATTACGTGAGGGGTGCCACCGGATTTTAGAAATGTGGCGAACCCCATGTGTTTTTCGACACTGACCCCGCCGATCTGCATGAGAGGCGCCGCCGAATTTCAGAAATGTGGCAACTCCCATGTATTTTTAGACCCTGACCCTGCTTGTCTACGTGAGAGGTGCCGCCGAATTTCAGACATGTGGCGAACCCCATGGGTTTTTGGACCCTGACCCCGCCGATCTGCGTGAGGGGTGTCAATTTCGATTCCCCCAGAAATTCTGATACCCCTCCCGGGAGGTGCTGACCAGGGCGGTGTTCGGCTTTCCCCCCCTCGCGCGGTCTACAGCAAGGAACAGTAAGCAACAAGCAGCATAACTGTAACAGTGGACACTGGAAGATGGAACTGGCGCAGGGAACAGCAAACCCTGAGCCTACAGCCTGGTGGCCCCACAAGGGAGCCGGCGGATATAAAAGAGAAAGAGAGAGAGCAACAAAAAGGATTGTGGCAACGAGAGGGAGAGAGAGTGTGTGTTGTTATGGAGTGCGCGCGCGCATCCCACGCACGCCCCCGTTGGATGTTCTTATGCACGTTTCGCGATGCTTGTGGCCCAGCCCCCCCTCCCACACAGCTTGGGTTGCGCCCGAGTGTGAGCTCCTTCGAACGAGACCCTCCCCGCAGCCTCTTTGAAAGGGTGGAGCACACTGACGACGCACCTCCACGAGGAATCGCTCCGCGATAATGCGTATCGCATCGCCGCCCCGCCCGCGAGTAATATATCGAGCAGAGGTCCCTGGGCCAGACGTCGAGCGCGCGTCGCGCCACGCATTGTGGCACAGTAGCGCAACTTCGACGACGAAATTGTTCGCGCTCGGGTCGGCGCGCGGCGTCATGCAGACTACCTGTGCGCCGCGTCGGCGACTGGTTCAGCGACGACATTGTCTTCGCTGGACTCGGCGCGCGGCGCCAAGCAGCTTCCTTGCTTGCCTGGGTAATTAGCGCTCGCGCGCGCAGGCGAAGACTCGCGCGTCGCATGGGGATCCCAATCTTGGAACGCGACGCATCGCGCTGGCATCGGCGCGCGGCGCCGTCGATTCCGCCGCGCGCGATTGGCAAGCGCTCGAGCGCACGCGGGATGACTCCCCGCGTGGCGTCGGCATCTCTCTCGGCAAACGCTGTTCTCGCGATGGTTGGCGCCGAGCGCGAGACGGGACGGCGCCTCGCTGCGCGGTTGGTGACGTGCGAGTGCGCGCGGGCGTCCCTGCGGTTGCGCCGCACTGGTGCCGCAAGTGCAGTTGTCGTTCCGCCGCCACCACGCGGAGGAGGGGTGCGTGAGAAGACGTCAGGTGCAGCCGCGTCGTTCGCGCTGGGGTCGGCGTGCGTTGCCAAGCAGCTTTCTTGCTTGCCTTTGCAGGGGACGACTCGCGCGTCGCATGGGTGGCCCAACCTTGGAACGCAGTGCGTTGCGCTGGGATCGGCGCGCGGCCCCAATTCACTGAAGTCGGTGCGTGAGAAGGCGTCAGCTGCAGTCGCCGCGCAAACGCCGCACGGGGTGTGGCGGGGGGCTGCGAAAGAGAAGACGTCAGCAGAGTGCGCCGCGCGCGCAGGAGCGCCCTCGGGATGCGCGAGAGAGCGCCGGGTGCCAGCGGCGGGCGCTCACGAGAGCGCCCTCGGGGCGCGCCAGAGTGCGCCGCGTGCGAGCGGGCACGCACGAGAGAGCTGCCAGGGCGCGCCAGAGTGCACCCGGTGCGAGTCTGCACGCACGGAGGCGCCCTCGGGGCGCGCCAGAGTGTGCCGCGTGCAACTGGGTACAAACTAGAGCGCCATCTGGAAGCGCCAGAGCGTGCCGCGTGCGAGCGGGCACGCACGGAAACGCCTTCAGAGCGCGCCAGTGTGCACCGCGTGCGAACGGGCACGCACGAAAGCACCCTGGGGGCGCGTCAGGGTGCGCTGCGTGCGAGCGGGAACGCACCAGAGTGCCCTCGGGGCGCGCCAAGGTGCGCCGCGTGCGAGCGGGCACGCACGAAAACGCTCTCTGGTGGCGCCCGCGCGCGGGGGGTGCAACTTTGGGCAGAACCGCGAAACTCCTCCGACGGTTCCACAGATTGTTTTTTAAGTTTGTGGACGTCCTTCCTGGCCATCACCGCGCGGCCGACACAGAAAAGAAGACGTTCAAACTATGCCACGCACAAGGGGAGGAAGGCGGGGTCCGCCTTCCGCACCGCTTGCAGGCGGACGCGCCAATTCTCGCCCCCCGACGTCGTGCATCTGGCACCGCGCTGAACGCTCCGACCCTCAGTCGATCGCTGCTTGGCGATTGTCAGGGCCGGCGCTCGATTTGGAGAGAAATGCAAAAAGAGAGAAAGAGAGAGGGATAGAGGAACAGATACAAAGAGAGAGAGAGAGAGAAAGACAGAGTGAGAGAGAGAGAGAGAGAGAAATAGAGAGAGAGACGAAGTAAAAAACATGGCGGGAAGGGGGGGAATCGGGCGTTGCTTACGGTGCACCTGGCCCAAGGTGCCGTCCCCGCTACATTTTGGAGCCGCTCGGGCCCCTTCCTGGGCCTCGTGGAGGGTGCTCTGGAGGCCGCGGGAACCTCCTTGGACATCCTGGGGGCACCTTGGGCCAGGGTCACGTCTAGCGTCGACGTTGATTAGTCCGTCGACCCTGCCAAGTCAAGGGTGCCCTGGGTGTCTCGCGACCCACGCCGTGCACGTTCTTGTGGCAATCTGCGCGTCCTCCCAATCAGCCGCAACTGTAGGGCTTGATCACCAGAAAGAATTTCGAGCACCAAAACATGTACCGAGACTCGAGGGTTTTCATGTGTCGTGCCCTGGGAGACCTTCGTCCGACTTTCTTTCGACGCTGTTTCGACACTTTTCCCGGTGCCCGAAATTATCTCAGGGATGTGGCCTTTAAGTGCGATGAGAGCCACGATCAAGGGTGCCTTTGTGTCCTGGGTGGTTCGCGACCCACGCCTTGCGCACTTTTGCGGCAATCTGGCCCTCGGAAGGGTTTTGTGTCCTCTCGTGTGTCCCCCCCAATCAGCCACAACTGTAGGGTCATGGTGTTCCAACCTACTTGTAGCCTTGATCACCGGAAAGAATGTCGAGCACCAAAGAAAGTACCGAGACTCGAGGGTTTTCATGTGTCGGGCCCGGGGAGACCTTCGTCCGACACTGTTTCGACACTCTTTCGACACCTTTCCGGGTGCCCGAAATTATTTCGGGGATGTGGCCTTTACAGTCAACCCGCGTAGTAAGGATGGGCAACCTCGCCAAGGGTACATTTGCATTCTTGCCTCATCGGTCCATCCTTCGCCACTTTCGTTGGCCGCGCCCCGCTCGAAGATCTTCAGAATGGGCGTCCAAGGCCCTTGCATCCTCATCTCGCACCCTTCCTGTACGGGCTGACTGTGAGTGCGATGAGAGCCACCTGACTGCAGGGGGGGGGGGGCGGGCGGGCGGGGGCCTGGGAGATATGGCCTGCCGTGCCGGCCCCGGAGAGAGAGGGAGCCCCACAGGCCGCTGGGCACACGCCGAGCAACGAGCTCCTGGACCAGGTCATGGAGCTGCCCCTCCGCCCGCGGGGGGGAGGGAGGGGTCTCCGGGGGCCACGACGGGTCGGCCACGCGCGGCGGGGGGTCTCCGTCGAGACTGATATCGCCCCCGAGGTTGCGTCGCGGGTGCTCCTTCGCATCGCGCATCCATGCGGCGGCGTCGTCCACGGGGTCGCGTCCCACAGCCCAGACCGCGGGGGCGTGGACACGGGTACTGTCGCCGCCCGCGCGTGGTCTCGAGGATCCCAGGTCCGTCGTGTTGGCACCGGTGGAGCGTGCCGCTGTTGTCAGCCCCGCGCAGAGGGGGGTGGGGGGAGGGGGAGGGCTCTTAGAAACACCCCTGCTTCTTAGAAGGCGCGGGCCTTCTCTATAGATGTGAGGCCGGCGCCTTCTAAGAAGCAGCCTCTTTCTAAGAAGCCCTCCCCCCTCCCTCCACCCCCTTGTGCGCGCCGCCAAGGGGAGTCAGGGGCTACATTAGGGGGTCAGCCACGCGCGGAGGGGGGTACAGTCGAGGCTGATTAGTAGGTCGACCCTGCCAAATCGAGGGCACCCCTTGTGTTCTGAGCTTCGCGACCCGTGCCTTCTCATATATTCCTGTGGCAGTGTGGCCCTCGGAAGGGTCTTGTGTCCTCGCGCGTGTCCTCTCCACTCAACCCCGACTGTAAAAAAGCACCCCTCGGTTTCTTCGAAGGCGCGGGCTTCATGTACAGATGCGGAGCCGCTGCGTTCTTAGAAGCAGCCTCCTAAGAAGCCTTCTCCCCTCTTTCCCTATCCCCCTGTGCGCGCCGCCACAGTGGGGGATAGGCATGGGGGGATTCATCGACCCCCAATCGCCCACTGGTCGCCGATAAGAGCCCGATAGCCCCAACCTGCCCAGGACGGTGCGGCGGATCCTTCATCGGAGTCCTATCGCCGATGTATCGGCGATGTATCGCCGATTTCATGCCGATCTTCCCCCCTATGCCAGTCTCCCCCCCTTCTCGTTTGCCCCCCCCAGGGCGGGGGGGGGGCTGTGGATCTGGGCCTCGTAGATGGGGTCGGAGTACATGGGGTCGGAGGATCGCGCCGCATCGCCGATGCATCGCCGATGTGGCTCGATGTGGAGCCCGATTTTCTCGACGCCGACGTCGACGATGCATCGCCGACGTCGCCGACGCATCGCCGATGCATCGGCGATGCGACGCGATCCTCCGACCCTTCTCTCCGACTCCGGCTCCGGCTCCGACTCCTGACCCCAACACGTCTCCTGAGGGCTCCGTCCTCCGCGCCGCCCTATAAGGGCCGGTCCCGCCGGACCGAACTCGCGCGCTCGCCTCGCCTCGCCTCGCCTATCCAGGAGGCCTCTAGTGGAGAGGATCACACGGGGGCATCCCAAAGAGCGGGGGGGTGGCTTGGGACCAAGGCGGCGAGGAGCGCGCACGGAGCGTCCCGCCTCGTGCGGTGCTGATGCGGGGGTGAGATGCGCGCGCGCCCACTGTGCCGATCCCCTATTCTTCCTCCTCCTCCACCTCCTCCTTCTCGTCCTCCTCTTCCTCCTCCTCCTCCTCCTTCTCCCGCACGTGGACTACTGGACGGGGAGGCCCTCTTTGACGTTTTCGATGGCTTTGGAGGCCGTGCTCCCCGAGATTCAGACACATGCATACTGCAGGCTCGTGTTGTGTCGATTTCGGCGGCGACCGCATTGCGGGCGTTCGAGGTTGAACGCCACAAGCGGACCGACATCGTCCGATAATGTGATCGTTTTTTAATTCCATTTTTTGCCGATCGGCGCGGACCCTCGCACCCCGCCACTCCCCCCTCCATGGAGTAGATATTGGCTGTTTTTGGCGCCTGTTTCGAGCAGGTGGGGTACCCCATCGGTCGCACTGCTGCAAACAGTCGCACTAAGCAGAGGTCTGGAGCCAGACCCCCCCCTTCCCCTCTTTCCGCCCAATGTCGAAACGCCGAATAAAAAACCGCTCACATTGAACGACTTGCACTTTCGGAGGGCCGAATCGTCCGAAGTTGAACGATCCACGCGGCGTCAGAAGCCAAGCCGTCACGACACGAACCCGCCGCAAACTTACACGTTCGGAGGTCCGCGCGGATGTCTTCGGTCGGCGCTGGACGCCCCCCTTGGTGCCGCCTTTGGCGCCAGGGGGAGGGGGGTCCGGCGCCGCCGCGCGGACCTCCGCAAGTCCATGCCTGGGCAGCCTTTTGTTTTTTGTTAGCCCAGCACTCGAATTTCTTGGAGCGGCTTGGACGGTACGAGCGGACCGTGGGAGCCCGACACATCGTTTACCATTAATCAAAAAACAAATCGCCTTCCCGTCCCCGCGCCTGACAACATCACGACGGGAGTTGGTTTACATTCTCGCCTCTCGGGCCCTCACAGGGCCTCGGGGCCATCGAATAGCGACTCAGGACGAAAAGCAAGGCCCTGGCATGGGATCCAGACTTTAGGGGAGCCACGTTGTGAAATGATCACGACTTCGGGCTCACTGCCGTGACGAAAGATTATGCGGTTTCGTACGATGTTGGAATATCCCATCCCTCTGAAGGCTCCTACCATTGCAAGATGACCTCTGCGCTCCCGCGGAATTCGTTGGGCCCAATTTCGTTCATAGCTTGCTGTCCCGAGGCAGGGTCGGAAATCATCCCGCCCGGTCTGTCATGAGAAGTGGGGCGCGATGCGTGCCCGCGCGGGGCATGCTCTGCTCCGCCCACTCCGCCTGCTGCGCCAGCGGGCAGGCATCTTGCACGCCGACCACATCTTCGATGTCTGTTCATGGGAGCCTTGGACGGCGACACTGCAATCAGCTTTTCCTGCATTTGGACCGCTTGGGGACCGCATTTGGCCCACCCTCCTGCTCCTCCGCTCCCCTCCTGTTCCCCCTCCCCCTCCTCGTTCTCATAGTTCCCGCGAATCCAGTCCAAATCTGGTCCAAACCTGGTCCAAACTTGTTCCAAATCTGGTCCAAATCGGGCCCAGATCGGACAGCGCTGGGGGCCACGCAGGCTCCCATGGAACGGACACCAAATCTTGCACGCCGGTCACATCATACAGGCGGCCCGGATTAGTAGGTCGACCCTGCCAGATCAAGGGTACCCTTGAGTCCTGTGTCTCGCGATCCGTGCTTCGTACATTCCTGTGGCGATGTGGCCCTCGAGAGGGTCTTGTGTCCTCTCGCGTGTCCTCTCCAATCAAACCCGACTGTACTGTTGTCACGGCGATGTGTCTGGATTCTCCAATGGCCAGCCTTCGATCCGATGCGGCTTCGCGACCGTCCTCCCCACCCTGGCCTCGCCGTGCCGACGAACGCCTCTTGGTTCGGCTGCGCTCCGGAGGGCCCTGGAGATAGTCTAAGAGGTTCTGGAGTTGAGATGGGCACGTCCTTCTACAGGGGGAATGTCCAAAAGTAGTCAAAAAATAGTCAAGGGACGATTTTTTGATGATTTGTTGTATTTTGCGTATGTTTGTATATTTTTGTATTTTTTTTCGCCCAAAATCCGCCTGTAGGGGGGACATACCCGACCTAAAGATAGTCCAAGAGTCTCCTGAAGCCTCCGCAGCGCGGACAGGAGCGACAAAACATCGAACGCGACCGATCTTCTTCTCTTTCTCCTCCCCTCTTGGCCCCTGCCCGCCCCGATTGCCATGCTCCCGTAGGGGCGGGAAAGGTGTTTTCAGAGACCTCGTCGGAAGCATGTCCTGTACTTCTGTGCGGGAGCAGTTGTAGTCAGATATACCTCTGAGAGAAGACGGATGTCGTCACAGGAGTGGGGAACAGTGTCTTGCAGGTAAGTTGGATCTCCTCCTCGGGGACCGCTGCCGAGAGGAACGATTCAAAAGGGGCTGGGTGGAGGTACCTGTTGCACAAGAGCGACGAGCCCGCGAGGAAGAAGGCGGAGGCTGAGGCCGCGAAGGTCCTCCGCCCCTCGGGATGACCATTCCACAGCCTTTCGATCACGGTGCCGTGCCCATGGTTTTCTGATCCCCCTCTCTCTCCCTGCTTGCGTCCTTCCGCGTCATTCTTTCCACTCACCACCTCCCTTCGTTGCCTCCCTCCATCCGCCCCTCTTCCCCCTCCAGTCCTTCCTCCCTGCCTCTGTGCCCTACTCCGTCTCCACTCCGGTCGGAGAGGCGTAGCAACGTTGCGGCCTCTCTTTGTATGCGGACTCCTACTACCACTACTACCACTACTACTACTGCTGCTACTACAACTACTATTACGCCTGTTACTACAGACTCCTACCTGACATCCCCGCCTCCCTCTCCTCCCTCTCCTCCCTAATTTCGTTCACTCTCGTGCATCTTGCCCTTACTCTTTCCGGGTGCGACTCCCCCCCCCTTTGTGTAAGTGTTGCACCGGCTTGCGGTTCTGTTCATGGTATCCTCGGAGATCTCGAGCGATCGCCCGAGTTTTGAAACGATTCCCCTCTGCTATCCGCGCAGCTGTTACACTTGTTCAAGTTTTTGGTTTCTGTTTGTGTGAGGCCTCGAGCAAGAGCTTCGTGTTGAAAAAGGAGCCGTCTTCCATCGTTGCGTTTGCTTCGAACATCTGGGGCTCATGTGCGCGGCGCTAAAGCGAAAGAATTCGGGCCGCCATCCATCATTGTAAATGGTACAAGTTGTAAGACGATGTGAGCTGTGCTAGAACGAGAGCTTCATGTTGAATTCGGGCCGCCGTCCATCCTTGCAACTGTTGAATGTGTTTAGGACGACTGTGCGCGACAGTCCTCGCCGCATTTGGAAACGGGCCACCCTCTATCTTTGTGTTAGTTGCAAGATTCAAGCTTCGGGTCCGTTGATTGTGAGGAACTCACACTCGAAACGCCTGGCCCGCCCTACTGACACGGCTACTGGTCCGACGAGGAGCAGTTGGGCATAAGGAAGAGATAGGGACAGCGACGGACGGGGATGAGGAAGAGGTAGAGAGGAGGAGGAAACGTGAGAACGAGGAGAAGATAATGAGGAGGAGGAGGAGGAGGACGCATGGCTTGAAACCGACGTGGCCCATCCGTTTGCGCCTCTCGATCCTCTCCTCTCGATCTTTTGGCACCGGTGTTGCACGCATGGGCACCACTGACACAGATTTTTCCCACCAGGGCTGAGGGAAGACAGACAACGCAGGGTGATCGTGATGATGATGATGATGATGCTGATGATGTTGACGATAATGCTGCGGCTGCTGATGATGACGATGATGATGATGCTGCTGATGATGAGGAGGAGGAGGATGAGGATGATGATGAGGATGAGGATGATGATGATGATGATGATGATGATGATGAGGAGGATGAGGATGAGGATGAGGATGAGGATGAGGATGAGGAGGAGGAGGAGGAGGAGGAGGAGAGGAGGATGAGGATGAGGAAGATGGTGATGATGATTATGATTCTACTCATGATGATGATGATGATGCTTCTGATGATGATGTTGATGACGATGATGATGATTATGAGGATGAGGATGAGGATAAGGATCAGGATCAGGGTCAGGAAGGATGAGGATTATTATTATTATTACGAGGAGGAGGAGGAGGAGGAGGAGGAGGAGGAGGAGAGGAGGAGGGAGGAGGGAGGAGGAGAGGAGGGAGGAGGAGGAGGGAGGAGGAGGAGAGAGGAGGAGGAGGAGGAGGAGAGAGGAGGAGAGAGAGAGGAGGAGGGAGGAGGAGGAGGAGGAGGAGGAGGTGGAGAAGGAGGAGGAGGACCCCTCCCCCGTCCGGCGCCGAAGGCCGAGGCCGAAGCCGCCGCCGCGCAGGCAGCGGCGGCGCCGCCGGCGCCCGCAGCCGCGGCGTCCGCCGCGGCCGCGCCCATCGGCGGGCGGGAGGCGCCGACGGCCCCCCGCGCCTGCGCGCCCGCCGCGCCGCGCGTCCG